AGTCTAACTATAATTGAATTGAGATTAACTTAATTATAATTAAAATAATATAATTTAATTAAAATATATAAAATATTTATATATGACTATGATAAGAACAATATTTAAACAATTAAGACATTAATTTATAAGTAAAGGAAACATTCATGAATGAATTATACATAATACAATAAAATAATAACAGAGCTACTTAAGTACAAAGTTGATAAGTTTTTTTTTATTTTATTCATTTAAAATTAAGATAATATTTTACGCTTAATAGAATTATTTAAAAATTAAAATTGATTTAAAAAATAAAGAAAAAATATTTTTAAAAAATTTTGAGTATTCAGGCTAGCCCGAAGCCTGAAGGTGTTAGGGCCGGGCTTGACTATATGGGCTTTTTAAAAGGAGTAAGATACTTTAAGCTTGATCTAAATAAGTCTAGCCCGAATTGAGCCCGCCCGCTTGAATTACCGGCTCTATAGTTAAGTAACATATATTTAATTTCGTATATAATAATAACAGGTATATTTCAACTCAACTAACAAAGAAGGAGGAGTTAAGGCTTGGAAGGTAGGAGGTTAAGAGATCAAATCTTAACCTTAGCATATTTTGTAACAAATATGTGATATGGCATGTGATAACGGCTGACATGGCATTAGGTGGCAACATGATGCATGATGTAACATTAGTTAACCCACACATAGGTAGGTGAGTTGGCATGTGCAGATGCACACATGGCTGGTAAGGTGCCAAGTGATGTGGCATCGGTTGATTCACATATCACGAATGATGTGGTACTAACATGGTAGTGGGGACATAAGAAATTTAGTTTTCAATTTTTAGAGACTATTTTATTCCATCTCCATCATTTCTTTATAATTTTTAAAGCATTTTATAGCAATGAATTTTTCATGAAAATTAGAAACAACATTTTTTTATTTAGAGACAAAATAAATCCATCTTTAATCGGTGATGGCTTAAAAAATTTGTCTCTAATTATTTAATGACACCCCTTTTTGAGACACCATGATATTCATCTCTAAATTCGTCTCTACTTGTTTAGAGACAAATTTTTTATTTGTTGGAGATAGATTATTGGGCATCTCTAAACAATATTTTTATATTAGCATAGAAGCATGAAAAATGTTTGAGCATTAAAAACTGGTTAAATAGGAGCAAAAGAGTCATTTTAAATAGGGCATGTTCGCCTTGACTAAGCACTCATCTACCGTAATTTGTGACACAGAGGCCACTCACTGCAACTAAATTAAAGGCATAGTTCGCCATGGCTAGAACCAACAACCATGTCTACTGCAACCAATATGAAACCCTAGCAAAGCACTTCTCCTCCTCTTAGCCACTCCCTCAATATCTCTCTTTATTTGCATTTTATTGAATTACTGATTCAAGATTTAAAATCTCGTCATGTCCGTCGAGGTAGATGGCCAAAACAAATAGCTTCACTCAAACCCAATATTTTAGGCCCAAGGTGACTCAAAAGCTTCCCAAACCCTATTCTAAATCCCATATAGGGTCTAATAGACCCAAATAGCTAGCCAAGCTCCTCAATTAACTTCAATTATCTTAATTAATTAATTAATTAAAATTCTCAATTAATTAATTAACTCTTAAATTAAATTTTGGGATGTTACAAAATGAATGAAAAAAATAGAACAAATCTTAATTCTTAAATTGTACATAGATTTTACTTTTTTCTTAATTTATGTGTTTTACCTGTGAGGACCAACAAATAAGGATGAGGAAGTACTATTCCCTCTGTTCTAAAATATAAGCAGTTTTTGATAAAAGAATTTGCATACTAATAAAGTTCTTATTCTTCTAAAAATATATGTTGTTTTGTCTTTTTACCTTTAGTCCCAATTACCAATGCACTTCATAATGAGTGAAAAATAAATTTACACAAGGGTTAAAATGAAAAAAAATTACATATATTATATTATTTATATTTTAAACTAAGATAAAATGTGAAAAAATGCTTATATTTTTGGACTAGAAGTGGTATTTAACTTAATTGTAACAAGGGAAAATAGCATAGAAGGACCACAGTGTGATATTTATATCACTTAAGGACTAAATGATTTGCTATTTATGCAACAGTCCTCTAGTCTTTCTTTGATATTAATTTCATACGCAAAATGATAGAATTACCGCTCAAGTAATTAAAAAACAAAAACAAAAAGAAATCCCACCAGTGCTGGCGATCAGACCACCACTGGCAGTAAGGTTGTCGGAGCCCCTGTTGCCAGCAAGGGTCTTTAGTAGCAGGTTACCAGAGCTCCGACACTAGCAACATTTTATTTTAAAAAAATTGGTTTAGGTGGCCAAGGGAGGGTTTGATCCCATGACCCTTGGCCACCTTAAAAGGTATATCAATATATATATATATAGTAAACCAAACTTCTAACTACTTTTATGTAATAACATAATGGTATGTTGTTAATTTTTGAACAGAACTTATTATTTTATAAATATCACTTGTTAATCTAATATGGATGATTATAAATTGAGGGCATCAAAAATTCACTCATTTTACTTGTTAAACATCCCAATGTATTGTTGTCAATCATAGATAAATTATTGTTAAAACCAAATGGATACTTAGCTTGTTAATGAATGACTAACACATACAACTAAATTATTCCTATCAATTTTTCTAATTTGTTAAAACTATAATAGGTTGTTGTTAATTTTAAATGAATTGTTGTTAAAACCATAACATTTGTAAAATAACAATACTTCATTTGAAATTAACAACAACCTATTATAGTTTTAACAAGTTAGAAAAATTAATAGGAAGGGTTTTAACAACAATTCATTTGAAATTAACAACAACCTATTATGGTTTTAACAAGTTAAAAAATTGATAGGAAGGATTTAGTTGTATGTGTTAGTCACTCAGTAACAAGTATTTGTTTGGTTTTAATAACAACTTATTTGTAATTGACAACAATACATTGAGACGCTTAACAAGTAAAATTTTTGAAGCCCCTAATTTGTAATTGTCCATATCAGATTAACAAGTGACATTTGTAAAATAACAACAATTCATTTAAAATTAACAACAATTTATTATGATTTTAACAAGTTAGAAAAATTGATAGGAATGGTTTAGTTGTATATGTTAGTCTTTCATTAACAAGTATCCATTTGGTTTTGACAACAATCTATTTATGATTGACAATAATATATTGAGACGTTTAACAAGAAAAATGAGTGAAGTTTTGAAGCCCTCAGTTTGTAATTGTTCATGTCAGATTAATAAGTGACATTTGTAAAATAACAAGTTTCGTTCAGAAATTAACAACATACTATTATATTCTTACATGAAAATGGTTAGAAGCATAATTTACTACTTATATTTTTTTATATGCTATTAAATGGTTTGGTGGCCTAGTAAACACCAATTTTTTAGGTGGTCAAGAGTCATGAAATCAAACTCTCCCTTAGCCACCTAAACAAATTTCTCTTAAATAAAATGTCGTCATGCCAGAGCTATGGTGACTTGCTACTGACAACCCCCATTGGCTGTAGGGACTCTGGTGACCTTGTTGTCGACAGTGGTCCAACGACTGGCTCCAACAGCAGTGGGATTTTCTTTTTCTTTATTTTTTAATTACTTAAAAGGCAATTCTATCATTTTACTTAAGAAATTAATTTCGAAGAAGGACCAAAGGACTATAGTGTAAATAGCAAATCATTTGATCCTTATGCAATATAAATATCATAGTGGTCCTTGGATACTATTTTTCCTTGTAACAAAGTCAGTTTGAATAAATCAGGGGCATGTGATTGAGTGGTAAGGGCTCATCCTCCTTTAACCAAGTGTCAAGGGTTGATCCTTGCTTGGGTATAGAAAAATGTCTTCTGCCAACTCTCCCATCCTTTAAGGTGCTTGACCATAGGCAAATCTGAATTAGTTTGGGTCATTATTGTACCTAAAAGATAATTTATCTAGGATACCGATTAGAGCCGGGAAAATGGGTTGAGCTCGCGGGCTAGCCCGTTTAACCCGCACATTTGACGGGTTGGGTTGAAAAAATTGACCTGTTTTTTAAAACGGGCTGGGCTAGCCCAACCCACAAAAAAACGGGTTAAAACGGGCTAGCTTGTGGGCTAAACAGGCTGGCCCGTGGGCTAGCAATATTTTTTAAAAAATAATTTTTTATTTTTTAATTACATTATATCTTTTTATAAATTTACAATAATGATAATATTTCTTAAATATATAATTTATGACTTTTAAATATATTCTTTACATTTAAAATATAGTATAAATTCTATTTACAATTTGCAAATAAAATTTTTGTTATAGTTTATGAAGATGATTTATTAGTTTTTATAGAAATATTTTGAATATATATTATTTATTAATTTCATAAATTATATTGATTGAAATTATAAATATGAATTCACTAAGAAAAATAATATGAGTTTATATTCAAATTTTCTTTATTAGTGACAAAGATAGCACACCTAAGTGAGAAAATGATTATAATAAAAATCTAGCAAAATAAATTTGCTTGGTTGAATTCTATATTTATTTTATTTATTTACAAGTTTTTTAATTTCTAATTTGCTTTAAAATATGAAATATATATATATATATATATATATTATATTGTATAAATTTTAAATTATTAAAAAAATTTGATAATTTTTTGTGGGCTAGCCCGTGGGTTGACTAGCCCGCTGGAAAATGAGTTGGGTAGGACTTTCTAGCCCATTTTATCTGACGGGTTGGCCTAACCCAATTTATAAAACTGCCAGCTCGCGGGCTGACCCGCAATCTATTTGCCCAATACTAATACCGATGCATGAGGGGAAAAAAAGTCAGTTTGAATACCGGGCATAGAGTCGCAGCATCATCCACTAGACTTCGGCCATGGTCAAATAGTCAGTCAAAGAAATAGAAACCTTACGGAAGTAACTCAGTGATCAAATTCTTGTACTGGCTAGCTTGTAATAATTGTAGGTCAAAAAAAAAAAAAAAAGAAGCCAGCTTGTAATAATTAATGATAATTAACCTGTATCCATATTCCCACTGTTTCTCAAGCACCAAGCTTACCTATCTTCTTCAAATAGATAATCCACCTTCATCATTCATTCTCCATCCTCTCTCTATCTCTCTGCAAAAACACCATGCTGCTTCACCTGCAACAAAAACCCTTGTTCATCTTCTTGTTGAGCTTCACAATCTGGTCATGGTGGACTCTTGACGGCGTCGTTTCAGACCCACAGCTCAGTTATGTGAAATCGGGTTGTAGCTCCTATAACGTCAGCGACGTGACCATCTTCAATGAGAACCTAAACACAACGATGCGAAGCCTAAGAGCTCAGATCAGCAACCAAAGCAAACACTCGGCGACGGCGCAGGCGGTGAAGGGTAACAATCCGGCGTACGGCGTTTTTCAGTGCAGAAACTACCTCTCCATCAAAGACTGCCTCGCCTGCTTCGACATCGCCGCTGTTCAGATTTACAATAACTGCTCCGTCGCCGCCACCGGCGCTCGCCTTATTTACGAAGGTTGCTTCCTCAGGTATAGGGCTGTGCAAAAGTCTCCCAGTCCTGTCTGGTCCAGTCCAACCCGAGATGGTCTCAGTCTTGTTCGGTCTGTATAGTCACTGGTCCTTCAGGATCAAAAGGACTAAAAAGACCAGACTATTTTTTCGGGTTGGACTGGACAAGAGACCAGGCATCCGGACCACTTGGTCCAGTCCAGTCCTATTAATTTTTTTTATTATAATTATAATTAATTTATTTTTGACAAATGTTTAAAGTGTAATTGATGCTAAGGAGATGATTGCATAAAGATTTATTAAGTTTGTTTCTAAATTGTTATTGTAATATAGTGTTGTTGAATTTTTTGAGTACTGTTTTTATTAAAGTTTATAAATTTAAATAATTTAGACTATAACAAAAATATTTTTTTTCTTATTGTTAGAAATTATTATGGATTTATTATTATTATAAGTATTTTTACTATCTTAATTGAGTTTATTATGTTGGAATAGATTATTGCCTCTCATAGAATAAAAAGAGGGAAAAAAAGCTGAGTGAGTACTGGACTGACAGGACCAGTCTCCCAGTCCTATGGACCAAGTCCGGTCCTGTTAATCTTCGGGTTATCACTGGACAAGACTGGACTACGGGTTACCTAACCCAGTCTTTTTCATAAAAGAGACCGGACTTCGGGTTAGGGTGAAGTCCAGTGCTGTCCAGTCCTTTGTGCAGCCCTACTCAGGTACATGACCGACCAACTTTTACCCTCTCTCTCCTCCACTCTCTCTCTCTTAATAATTATTTATTAGCAATTGATTATTAATTATTAATGATTAATTTTCCTACATGAATTGGCAAATTAACTTCACTGGTATTTATACTAACTCCAATCTTATATATTAATCACCTTTTTATAGTAATTTGAATAATAATATTAGTCACTTTATATAAATAAAAATGTGAACCACTAATTAATTTTTTTAAAAAATCACTCCTATTTACACCTTTCTAAGATCTTAAGAAAATATGTTTTTAAATAAAAATAGAGTTTGAAAATCAGTCTTTAGTATTTTAATGATTTAATCATTTATTTTTAATTCTTAAAAATATTTTATACTTTAGATTGGAGGGGGTATATTAAAAGTATTTCAACATTTTATGGCTTTTATTTATATCAGACCCCTTTTTACACTGTGAAATTTTGTTATCAAGCATCTTATTGAACTAAAATAATAAAATGCGAGCCACGTGTTTGTATAGATCCAAAACCACACAATTTTGTTGTTCCAAAATAACTTATTGGAAGACAGGTGCATGCCCCACATATAATGAAGTGAGCCAATTATTTGATCTCCCTCTCTCTCTCTCTCTCACGCACATTATTTTAATTATTTGATTATTATTATTATTATTATTATTATTATTATTATTTATCCCCCACTAATTTAATGATAGGCCCACAGTCTCTCTCTCTCTCTCTGAATTTAGTTAAATATTACTCCTTTGAATTTAGGTACGTAGATGAAAAATGCTCTCTCTATTCTATAGTATAAGGTAAAGTTAATCAACTTCACTTTTAATTTATTAAAAAATATTAATTATAACCTTAAAATTATAAATATACGTGTGTGTATAGGTTTTCAGTTTTATCTTTTTTTTTATTGTCTTGGAAGTTTACCATTCTAATTAATAATCATAATAAATTAATATTCAGTAATTCAAACAACAATAGATAAACAAAAAATAAATAAAAAAATATTAATCACTTTAACTTTGTCTTTTATTAAAGACAAAAAAAAAAAAACTTTCAGCGTTCACCTTATATTACTGATAGAAGAGAGTAAATAATTAGTACATATTTAATTTAAATATTTATATTAAAATTTTGTCATGAATATCTTTTATGATGAATTATAACTTCATATACATTAAAAAACTATTTTATGCTTCAATAATTGAAAAAAAAAAGCATCGAATCGTAGAAGTGTCACGAAGCAGGACCAGCATCTATTTCAAATCAATTTGCTTCTTCCATCTCCACACAAAATTGAAAATTCTATCCAACCAATTATTGGAAATGACAAATTTGACTCACTATATAAGTCGCAAATTTTGACCAGTCCCACAAAAATGTTTTGAAGGGACAAAAATACAAGAGAGAAAAAAATATTGAGAATAAGACAAATAACAAGTCATCCACTCCTATACTTATTTAGGTGTTGTACAAATGAATTTGATTTTCAGTCTCATTAGATAGGAAGGATAAATGACCGTCGGTTTTGATCTTGTTGGAATATTACATAGTTAATAGATAATTAGTGTTAATCACTTGGTTTGTTAATGATTTTAAAATCTATATAAAAAGTGACACGTTATGTTAGAGGTTGGGGAGTTATATCCCCATAGTGGCAGTGCCAGGACCTTAAATTATGAGGTGGAACATTTTTAAAATTAATAATTTAAAAATAATTTAATAATTTCAGAAAAAAGTGGGCACATACCATACTGTTATACCTTGCATGGCTTCGTATTCTAAAAACATTGAGCAATCATGTCATTGTTAATGTTAAAAAAAAATATTTTTTAATATAAATCACTAGACAGTTATTTATTAATGAATCTTCTATATGATTTTGCAATCAATTTTTTACAAATTTCATGATAAAAAAGGCTTAACGGTTTTAAAATTTTTTGAGCTTCAGCTGAATATATTTAAAATTTTTTTAGAATCCAAAAAAGTTGGGATGGGTACAAAATATTGAAACATATGAACTTTTTTTTATAATTTTCTCTAAGCCCGGGGTGCATTTGCCCCCTCTGGCTTCAATTTAGCACCGCCCATGGTCCCCACTTCATTGTTTCACCCCAAAGTGGCTTGGGGTTCATTGTTTCATCCCATAATTTGGAATTGATTTACACTCCTTTAACTGAAAATTTTGATTTCTTTGTAATGTTCCATCGTGTTCATCGACGATGTTCAATTTTCTTCTTGTTAAAGTGTCCTCTATCGTTGTATTACGTTATCTTACTGATAATTCAAAATGGTGTTGTTTAGTGTAAAAATGACATGATGAAACAGTAATGCAACAATTAATAGGCGAATGATCAAGATTATATATATATATATATATATATATGCCCCCCCCCCCAAATTTTTCATAAAGATACATTGTTCCTAAATACAAAACACTCAGAAAACAGTCAACAATATTAAATTCCCCTTTTCCATTAATTTTCATATTAATTGTGTTATAGAGAGGGATGATATGTTAGAAAGAAAATAAATTTAATTAAAATAAATGGATTTTAAATGTAGAGTGATATTGAAAAGTATAGTTATATATATATATATATATATTTTGACACTTTTAATAATACAAACTACTTTTAGGACAGGAAAAGGGAGTGTTAGATTAGATTTGTTCAACACTTGTAGCTAATGGATATACAATTCTTTAACAACAAATCTTATCACATTAAGTGGCATCAACTTATACAGATCGCACCATATTACATGTCCTATCAACAACGAACTTCTTAAAGACTCATGTTTGCTAAGAGATCCTATATTCCTATTTGATGTCCTTCCTTAGACTCTCTTTACCCTTTTTCATAGGACTAAAAACCAAATACTCAGCCTTACTTTAGAACTTCTATAATCAAGTGGGGTATATATAATTTGATACAACAAAATTCTTAAACTAAACTAATTGAAACGACCATGGTTCCACAGTAGAGACAACTGCAAAGTTTGCGAATCATAAAACAGTTATATCACATCACATGTGCATCTATAACATTTCACGGAACCGATATCTCTTTATGTGGCCATAAAAATGACATTTTTTTTCATTTAAATTTATCAGAAAGACACACAAAAGATGACAAACTTGTGTGTGTGTGTGTCTGTCTGTCTGTTTGGTTTTTTTTTTTTTTTTTAAGGTATGAGAGCAGTTTCTTCTACGACCAGTCCGTAGACGGTGGCAACCACCTTATGTGTGGGAATCGTGTTGTTAAAAACTCCACCGAACTTGCTTCAACAGTGCAACAAGTCCTAAAGAATCTGGAATTAGCAACACCAAGAATCCCTGGGTACTTTGCAGCCACTATAACACAAGTACCTAACAGTAATGGTTCAAACATTTATGCCTTTGCTCAATGTCTCGAGACTCTCACTCAAAGTGGCTGCCAGGATTGTTTGGAGTCTGGGTTGAGAAATTTTCAGATTTGTCTTCCAAACTCAAATGCTAAGATTTTTTATGCTGGTTGTTTCATGAGATACTCCACCACTGCGTTTTTTGCTGCTAATCAGACCACTGATCTCAAGAACATCCTGAAACAAGGTAGACTTGTAAACTGTTGTCTTGTGATTATAATAACATACTTGGAAATGGAATAAACTATTTTCTTGAGAGCTGTAGGAGGTTCAACCAAGAAGAAGGCCATTATTGGTGGAGCCGTTGGAGGTGCATCTTTTATTTTGATTCTCTTTGCATTACTTGCTTTGTACAGACGATCATTGTCCAAGAGGGTTCATAGAGGTAAGATAACTACAAAAAATTTTATTATTCAATTTTAAATGATTTATTGTGATATGCTCTAGTTTTACCTTCTTTCTCTACCAAAGTCAGTGTTACGGTTTTAATTTTAAAGGGATGAACTCCTAACTGCTTCATGCTTATTGAGAGATTTCCAACTTTGGTTTTTCCTGCAGTTGACGTTTTGGGAGCAACTGAGTTGAAAGGCCCGGTTAACTACAGGTATAAAGATCTAAAGTCTGCAACAAAAAATTTCAGTGAAGAGAATAAATTAGGAGAAGGAGGCTTTGGTGATGTATACAAGGTAAACCTTATATAAACAGTCATTTTTATTGTTACAATCAGTATCATTTTTACTAGTATTTGTCTTCCTTATACATACTCTGCTATATTGTTCACAAGTTGTGAATTGCACGATTCATTTATTAGATTTCCTCCAATACGCTGGGAAATATGTCTATTATATTGTTAATAAAATGGTATAACTTCCTATTAGCATGTTATATATAATCTGGCGATATGATCTCTTCATTGAACAGGGTACACTAAAAAACGGAAAAGTAATTGCTATAAAGAAATTGGCTTTGGAGCAATCCAAAAAGATGGATGAAGATTTTGAGAGTGAGGTAAAGTTGATAAGTAATGTTCATCATCGAAATCTTGTTCGACTTCTCGGATGTTGCAGCAAAGGCAAAGAGAGATTCCTTGTGTATGAGTACATGAGGAACAACAACGTTGGCCAATTCTTATTTGGTATATATATTCAATTAAACACATGAACAAATTTTCTCTATATAGTTGAAAATCATCTACTTCCTCTATTCTCTCTGTCTTTCATTCTTTCACTTACTATCTAAAGTGTTGGAAATAGGTGAAAATAAAGGTTCTCTCAATTGGAAGCAACGTTATGGTATAATATTAGGAACTGCAAGGGGTTTGGCATATCTTCATGAGGGATTCCACATTTGCATCATACATAGAGATATAAAGCCTAACAACATCCTCTTGGATGATGATTTCCAACCTAAAATTGCAGATTTTGGATTGGCAAGGCTTTTGCCAAGTGATCAATCTCATCTCAATACAAAATTTGCCGGGACGATGTAAGTAACAATTGTTCATATTTTCTGCACTTAAGTTATATCAGATGCACAAAGAGATTGTAATAAAACTCATTTATTGATCAAGGGGAACACTACTTTAGCAACTAGATCTTTTCTCACAAGTTAATTTGTTTCTACAAAGCATGAAGACTTTTGTGTCCATTTATGATTACTCACTAGAAATTAATATGATACAACACTTTAAGTTGCACGTGAACATTTCAAATTTGTTACATCATTGTCCTTGTAAGTTTCCATGTATTGTTGCGTCTCATGTCTTATAGACGATAATTTATTGATCCATTATATGCCATAAATGTTGTGCTTTTGTTAGGGGATACACTGCACCAGAGTACATAATGCATGGACAATTATCTGAGAAGGTTGATACCTATTGCTATGGTGTTGTAATCTTAGAGATCATGAGTGGGCAAAAGAGTGGTGAATTAAAGGATGATGATAGGGAATTCCTCCTTCAAAGAGTAAGCAAATTCTCAAAACTAATATGCATAAGGAAAATATTTTATTTGACGACAATTACCTCCAATTTACATATGTTGTATCACGATGATGATCCACCATGGCAGGCTTGGAAACTGTATGACAGAGAAATGCACATAGAGTTTGTGGACAAAACCTTAGACGCAAGTGAGTATGATGCAGAAGAAGTAAAGAAAATCATAGAGATTGGATTGCTTTGCACACAAGCATCTCCTGCATCAAGGCCAACAATGTGTGAAGTTGTTGATATGCTGGAAAGCAAGGATGGCTTAATGGATCACAAGAGACCCACTATGCCTGTTTATGTTGATCCTAATCTGAGGCCTACTAGAGATATCTCTCAGTCTAGTAGTTCATCTTTATCAAATGCTACTGACTCCACTTCTATGCCATCAGGAAGGTGATATGATTACACAACTATGTTGTAATAACACTAAAGATTTGAGTACAATGAAACATGAATCCTGCCAATAGGATAGTTGACGTAAAATAATGGACACTTTGGCCTGTGAAAAGGCAGTCACAACTATGCTGTTGTAACACGGTAGACTTATTCCACTTAGTCTTGTTGGGTGTCTTCATCTCTTGCTGCACAAGTGTCAATTATAATCAGTTCATACAACTGACTATGGATTAACACCTAACTTAGAAGCAAAGAAGGAAAATGCCATATCTTCTCTGAAATATTGATGGAAGAATTTCAGACACAGAACTGAACACAACAGGATGATTATAAAACCCACCCAGAATGCTTCCATTTAAATATGGAAAAACAGAATAACGAGGAAGACAGTTTTCAGAGTTATAGAAATGTTCAAAAGAATATCCCTGTTGTAGGTACTTGATTATGGCAAAGTAGTTTGCAAAGATCTTCAGGCAGAGTTAGCAAGCCAACTTAATTGATAGTTTCGGTTTTTCAAACAACACAAAGATCTACTAATACTGTTCTATTCTTGCTAATGCCAAACATAGATTTTATTATCAGCTTAGTGATAATTAACTTTAAAGTGTTACAAATATTTTAATTATGAGGAAAATTAAATATTTAGTTTATTCTACACTTGAATATTTGCTTGTCTCCTAATGCAAAATGGGGGGAAAAACTTGGTAAGAAAGGTACCCCCACACTTAAATCGTGCTCTAAAATTTCAGTTCAGCCATATTTCCTAACAAGAATGTATCAACCAAATCAATAAGCCTTAACCAAATGCATTCAACTGCAAACTTCATTATGATTAAAGGCTTAGTAAGTAACAAGTACAACAACCAGATTAGAGTAGGAAAATTAAGCTATGCAAATCATTTGAAAAATCTATGTGCCTCAAACGAACTAAAAGTGCGTTTGAATTAAAAAATTTACAATTGAAGTTAGGATTCAATTGAGGTTAACAATTGAGGTTGAATGAAAAATCAATTAATGAAATGTGATTCATGTTTGGATTTTTTTTTTTCAAAAGTCAATTAGATAAAGTAAAATTTATTTAGATGATTTGATTCGAAGTCAGTTGAGATGTTTAATAGAAAAAATAAGAATAATTTTTTTTAATATTTTTGACTAACTAATAAGTAAACAATATTAAACTTAAAATAACAATTAATAAGTAGAATATCTTAAATATTCAATCATGAACACCTAAAATAAATTCATATTCAATTAATATGATTTACAAGTTGACCTCTAGTTATATCACAAACATGCTGCATTTGTCTTAACAATCCAAGTAGATTTGATGAGAATGGCTCACCAATATCAGTGTCTTCCTCATGGACATTTACACTTCCATCTTCAACTTGTATGAATTGCTTATTAGTAATTAAATTTCTCATAATAAAGTTATGCATTGTTATTATTGCACAAACAATTTGAACTTGTGTTTTATATATGAATTTGGATATTTTCATATAATTGCAAATATATTCTTCCACATTCCAAAAGTTCTTTCTATATTGCATCTCAAACTTGAATGATAATAATTGAAGACCTTATTATTATTTGTAAATCCTGCAACTCGCTTAAAGTCTGAAAGGTAATAACATTCACAATGATGTAAACTAACATACCTATTTAGTGTTGAATAACTAGATTTGACTAATATTAAATCAACGCAATAATAATTATAGTGACTTTAATAAAATATATCTAGAGGTGGATGTGAAAAATTCATTGAAGGAATTGATATGACATTATCAAATACTTAGGCATTATGAGCCGTACCTTCCAATACCACATCCACAAAAGTAAAACATATATTCTAATCACATTCAACCATGACATTCTATGTTGGATATCCCTTTTAATTTGATCAGCAACACTGATCACGCATGGCACATGAGTGCCATCAATTGCTCTTATAACATTCTTAAAGAATGGCCAATATTATGAATTATTTTGAATTTTCAAATGACATAACTGAAACAAAAGATCAAATAGCTTTATATTTACCTTGACTAGGTTAAGACACACAACTAATACTTTATGAAAATTTTATGAACAATTTCCTCTAACAGTATTTTAAAACATTCCAATCATTTCTTCAACTCTCATTTTTTCAAATTTTTTTTAGATTAAGATCAACTAGTATCGTGCACAATTGCTTAAACAAATGTTTTTTCATTTAAAACATTTTATAATAATAATTAAAATGACCTTGCAAAATCTCATTGCTTCACATTTATCCTATTTGCTTGCTTGTTCTCTATGGCCCTTTATATGCATATAGCATCACATATTCACTAACTAATTGACATATTCCTTCTTGCTCAATTATATCTTGTTGTAACAAGGGAAGTAGTTGATGCACCATATTGACATCCCAACCTTCAGTCCAACCAAACATATATTCATTCAAATCTTCTATGATTTTTCAACCTAAGATAAAATAGTATATAAATATCATTCGTATGTAATATATTTATATAAAATAAATAGTATATAAATATCATTCAACAACATAAAAAATAAAACATTAAGCATTAAATAAGAGTTAAACATTTACTACAAACCAAGTCATCACAAGCATAGCAAACTACAAGTCAAAATAAAGCAATTATAAGTCAAACACAAGTCAAGTCATCATAAGCCTATATAAATATTATCCAAATATATTCTTTGAAATAAAATTCGGTAGATTGTGGACTTGATGCTTCAACCAATTGATCAAATGATCAGGATGATCTTTAAGTTGCCAATAAGCATCCCGTATAGGTTTATACAAAACAAGATTAACACATCTTCAATGTAAATCGTTATCACCAAAAACTTCTGGAAGTCCATTTAAGTGAGCTACAACCTCAGAAACTCCTATGTCATTTGTCAAAATCTTGTTCACTGTCTCTGTTTTCGCTTTATTTTCCTTAACTATTTCACTCATAGCATCTGCTATTTTCATTGAAGCAGAAACTTTTTGCTTTTTCCTTCCACCAACTCCTCTAACTTTCTTTCTTTTACCTTGACTTTCATCACCACTAGTTCCACTAGTATTTGTGGTCACAATCAATCTCAATAGCTCATTAATGACCCTCGTAGGTGTTGCAGTATTAGATAAATTCAGCTTCTCTTCACTATCACCAAATCCTTCTTGAAGGTCAATGGTGGAACGGTACACATCCTCATCATCATCATCCTTTGTTTGGATCTAAGTAGCAAATGGTACAAAAAATATCTCCCCAGTTGCCATGACATCCTTGAATATCAAGGTCAATTCCCTTGCAAACCTCAACCCTTTATATCTAAATTTTTCGTATAGGGGATTTTCTTGCAAGAATTCCAATAACCAACAATTAAAATTCTCAAATTAAATTCTAGTCTAAAAAACACTTAATAACTAATTCATACCAAAATTTTTCGCTCCCACCACTCATCCAAAGCATCAACAGTATTCTTGACATGTCCCATCCTAAGCTAATTTCACTAGAAAATAACTTATACCATATGTTCCATTCCTTCCTCATGTTGTCCAGCTTATTTTTCAATTGCTTATGCTCATACTTTTTTTCTGTTTTGCCTCAAACCCCTCTATAATTGCTTGCCAATTATTTTTGTTGAAAGCAGTTCCTTTTCTTTGTTTCTTGTACACTTGTTCCAAGCATTCCTTAATAAAAATTTCTGCCAAGGTTAAATTCCACACAACTTTTCCTTTGTCGCTGTTCATTTTTCTATAGTCTAGCCAGCCATCACAAACATACAAAATCAATAAATATATCTACATACATGTATCAATTTACCATCACAACCTAGAGTCACAGAGAAACTAAAAGAAAATAATAATCCTAAAACAAGGAAGGAACTGCCCACGTTGCTAATGTTTTATGGAATTAGTATCCCAGTTCCCCAACATGCACAAGACAAGAAGGATTGCGTATAAGAAATCTTACCAAGAGATTTACACCTGAAACTTTATCACCTTGACAGAAGAGGAGGAGTTGAAAAAAATAAATTAGAGATTTGTTATCATACTCGAAGCAAGAGACACACATTCTGTTCATTTATAGATGGACACACAATTAAACCCTATAGAGTAGTGAGACTAAACACTGTTATTTTCGCACAAAATTTGTAGACAATGATATATGTATACAAAACAGAGTATGAATCATATGAATCTCATTGGAAGTTTATACCACAGAAAATAAATGGTGAAGCTTTACTAGACTCTTGGACCCGCCAGGGAAAAGTTCAAATCTAAATCAATAGGAAAGAAGGAAAAAATCAAAGAACAATAAATAACATATCGATGGCCAAAAAACCAAGGGAATTGTATTCTAATTAGGGACTATGCATGGATTCAGCTTAAGAGTTCAAGGACAAGATACATCCAAAGAAAAGCAAGGAAATAACAATCAGATCCCAATTTTGATTCTTCATCCAAAATAAATGAACCAAAGTTTCTCAAAAATGTCCAAAGTTACAGAATCAAAAAACTCCATGGGCATTTCTACTTATGTTACCTGCATTTCAAAAAAGAATTCAAGCACAAACAGACCTGAGTTCCAAGAAAGGACAAGTACAAGAATTTGAGGACTGCATAACAACAACAAAACAAGCCAAAAAAAAAAACTCGAATTACAGAGGAACAAATTGCACAGAAGAGAAAAAAGTCGTATACCTAAGATGAACATAAAGTTAACAAACAAGCATTCAGTCAACAAGATGAAGGTAAAGGTTGGATGATATCCTTATTTCTCATTTATCCAAGGATCATCAGAAACTCCTGCCAAGAATTATCACCAACCATTCAGTCAAGGAAAAAAAAAAACAAGAAAAACACGACAAAGATGTGAATGTTTGGGATGATCCAAAGCATCATACTCACACAACAAAGGTTTGGAATGGATCAAAGATGTGAATCTGGTATGCGGCCACTTGTAGACAAAGCATGACAGCAAGGAAGGTATGAAGGAGACGAAAAGAAGAACCTCACTTGACAAGAACAGTCAATGGGGAGTAGATCCGGCAACAGGAACTACAAATCTGGTGGACATGGTGGAGATCGAAAGGCAATAGGGATAAAACCACTTTGGAATAGGGACACGCTAGATGCAAGATCGGAAGGTGAAGATCTTGGTGCTTCAATACAGTGGAGATTGGCTGCTGGATGGTGCCACCTATAAGCAATAGAAGGTGAAGCAGTGGAAGGTGAAGTAGATAGAGGGTAGAGCTTGAAAGGTCACGAGAGGAACAAAGGACCACACACAGCAAGGTTAAAAAAGTAGAGCCTCGTGGGTAGATAGATGAGAAGAGAGAGAAAGAATAAAAATTTAAAACATAATTAATGCTTCCAACAGCCAGCAACATTAACATTGAGGCAAAAGCCAAGTCTGAGGGCTTCCAAAAAAAAAAAAAACGCTTGTTTACAACTAACTGAGGTTGAAAATTTTTGCTAATCCAAACACAAAATGGGCTTTTTATATCCTAACCTCAATTTGGTCCATTCTAACTAAGGTTAGAAGTTAATCTAAACATGCACTAAGGTTACAAGCAACACAATAAAGATCCTCAAGTTTTATTTCCTCTATTTTTTTTTTAAGTATCTCTTTTTCATTTCTCTTGATCTTTTAGACGCGAATGACAACATTGGTGATAAAGTCACCCAATTACTCAAACCAAGCAAACAAAATTTATTCATAATATCCACTACCATTGGACGTGAAAATTCACTTTTTGGTTCAAATCCCCAGTTATTAAGTAGCTTCAATCAGTGGAGTAGAATTTATTCATCATTTTTTCTATACTTCACGCCTAAGTCATCTCCTTAATCCAAAGTTTTACTTAGCTTGTGAAGGTCAACACAAATCACCCCAAACAAATGAATAACAAAATTTAGATACACTAATCCTTTGTTCATCTTATTAGAAACTAACACTTTAATCATAATTCATCAAAAGAATCCCGCTCAAGATTAAGGCTCAAAGGCTTAGTAAGAACATTCTTTTTCTATTTTGATTATGATTCAATAACACTCCCTAAGTTGTTGAGGAACCAAAGTCAAACTCCATCTTAAGCAATGCACCAAATGACAGAAGACACTTCAAACAAAATAACAACATTTTTTTCTTCTTTTTTTAAACAAAACAAATCAAAAATAGAGAAACTACAAACAAGCAACTATTCAAAATGCATAGCTGCATATAATAAACCTCCCCCCACAATTAAATTAGACATTGTTTCCAATGTTTAAAGATAGAATAACAAGGAGAAAAGGACACTAAAACTCCCCTAACCGACAGACATTGCGAGTTGAGAAACAAAAAGACTCAAAGACAAAGATGAGTGGCATATCTTCAAGAGAATATAATACCTGCTAATTACATCAAATAGAGAAGTGGATAAATTGGAGAGTAAACCAAAAAGTTGGATACAGACTAGCAAGTAGGAAGTTGTGAAATATCAGTCACAACCCAAAATATCAAATTAAACAGTCACAAAAGCAGCAAAATAACAAAAAGGAACAAAAAACAAATAAACCAAAAGTGCAAAACAGAGAGAAACAAAGGTCAAACTGAATAGAAGCTTAAATCAGTGGTAGGATCAACATGAGAGGGATCCATGAATGGAACAAGAGAAGGAGCCACAGATGGAACAGGCAGGTCAAAACCTGGTATGCGTAAATGTTGCATGATTAAGCATTGATTCTGTTCCACCCGGTCAATGGCATCTTCTATGGACTCCAACTGCTGCTTGATCCACAAGTTAAAAGGCCCCAGGAAGTAGCCTTTGTGCAGAAGATGTGGGTTTTGTTAGATTTCTTAGTCGCTTTCTGAGTTGAGGAAGAGCTTGGGGCACCCTAGCGTTTAGCTGTGGAACTTTGCCCTTTTTTAGCCATCCCTAGCAAACAAACAGAAGAAAAGCCGGCTCAAGTCACAGTAATTAACCATCACAGCATCAGTCCAATGACAAAATTTAATCAAGAAGAACAGCCAAGTTCAGAAGCAAGAACCATGCCAACATTTGGAGGTGAACAGCTCATAATATTACCAAAAGAACATCTCCCACTCAAAATCACGAGTCACAGCATGTCATCCACCAGCAGATAACAAGATAAGAGCATCCAAATGTCTCAGAATATGAGAGCAAATTTCAGATTGTAGCGCCTATTGCAAAAATTGGTAAAGACAGAGTAGTTAACTAAAACAGTGTACCACCAGCCGTACACACATAGCGCTCCCCAATTCCAAATTTGAGTTATGCTAAGGCATGCAACATTCGGCAAGAAATCCAACCCAATAATTACCGTAAACAAGGCACCCAACAATGAGAACAGGTAACAACTACATTTATCTCAAATGAGGAGCAAAGTGAAATCCGAAAACTAATCTCACAGCACAGTTATTCATTATTATTATTGTTGTTGTTGTTGAAGTAATCATCAAAAGAATAAACTTGCAGCCCCGAATAGTGCCCACTTAACCCTCAAAAAATCTATTCGAAGCATATGTACTGAACAAGAGATAATGGGTCGAAAAACTTACCTGAACCGTACAGACTAAGAACTAGCACAATGAAAAATGGAGCTCGTGTAAAGGACACGAGTTGGAGCACAAACAGAAACGCGGAACTCCGATTACTCAGCAGTAGTAGTGGACAGCAGGGTGACAGTAAAGAGAAGAGGAAATGGCAGTGGCGAGATGTGGAGTTCTGAAAAAAATGACGACACTGCGAACACTGATAGTAGACGGCACCCTAAAGATCGACGACTTGGAGCAGTGAATGGAGGAGGCGACGAACGGCGGAGACATTGAAGTGAGGGATGTGGCTGTCACGGCTGAAGGAGAGGAAAGGAACGGCCGAGGGGAGAGAAGGAGGAGGTGACGGTCACGGCTGTGTCGATGGAAGTGAAGTGGGAGGCTACGGTGAACGGTGAACACGGCGGAGGGAGAAGGAGAGGTAGTGGGCGCCTGAAGAAGGAAGGTGAATATCTGAAGGAGTGAAATGGGGAAAGGTTCTGGCAGTGATAAAATATATTATTAATTTAATTTTACTAAAAAAACAAAATGAAGAAAATAAAACACAGTTTATACTTTTTTTTTTGGCCAACAGAGTTTTAAATTAAATTAAACAAAGGCAATGTTATTTTTTTTGTTCTTTTTCTTTCTTTTTTTAAATATTTTAAAAAAATTATTAAAATAGAAAAATATTTTTATGAGATTATATTATTTTTTAATTAAAACAAAAAATATTTTTATATTTTTAAATCATAAAGTAATTTCACACAAAAATTTAATCTCAAAATCTTATTGTTATTATCACATTTTACAATACTAAATTATTATTTTTATATTTTGGAAAGATTTATCAATCATTTATCCTTTAATAATTATCACTTTCAAAATATTTTCATAATCCTATTTATAAATTATTTTTAATATTATTTCACCAAACCAAGAAAAAATATTAAAACTCATTCACTCATTCTCTATAAAAATTTAATAAGGTTTTTACTTTTTTTATTAAATATATATATTTTGATAATACACTTTCTCACCCCCCAACATTTAATAAAGATTAACAAGAAAAAGTTATGATAAAAATTTAATAATACAATTTATAAAAAGATAACAAAATGTATATTTCCTATCTTATAAATAAGACCCATGAGAGCAACTGTGCCTTTAAGGTCTATGATTTGCTTTGATATAAATTCAAGTTTTAGTATTATTTCATTGTGCCCTTAATAATAATAACTAAATTTTGTGTGAATATACTCCCTTTAATTTTTATTATGAGGCACTTTTAACTACTTTATCAAAATTAAGAAAAGATTGTTAAGTTATTAACTTTGTCTAAAAATATCATAAACTTCTAATTTTATCCCTTATTTAAATAAAAAAATTTTAAATTTACATTACACTCTATCATATAGTTAATGAATTTAAATAAAAATAATATTAAAAAATACAATCAATAACTCATCGAGTAACTTACATTAAAAAAAAATAGAACATGCCTTGTAATAAAAACTCAAGAGAATATAAAACAGTATTAAACACTAAGGGCCTATTTGACAACCTATTTTGAGACAATTTTATGTTCTCTATAATAAAAGGATAAAAAAAATTTGTTTGGTAACATGTTTTTAAAAAGTATTTTAGAGAATAAAAACAAATATTGTTTTAAAAAAATGAAAACAATTTTAAAGTGTTTTGGAATTATTGTTTTGGAAAATAGGAGAAAATAAAAAAAACTTATTTTTATTATCTTTTTAATCTCAGAATATATTTTACAAAACATTAATCAATCTAACAAATAAATCTAATCCAATCAAGCCATCAAAGAAGTGTGGCTTCTCTCACGTTTTATTGTTCATAAAGCCAAACAGCTTCTGAACAGTACTTGGCTAGGTCTACAATGCCAGCTCAAAGCCACAAGTTTATGAGTCATTAAACAGCTTCATCTATTTCTCTCTGAAACCACGTGTGATGCATTGCGTGTTCCAAGCCAAGATTGTATGCGTAATCAAGGTGATTTTGCCGGCAACTTTTAGAGTGACAACAAATTCTTTCCTGTAGAACGAAGGACTAGGAAAATAAGGAACTTTGAATCTTGGATAATATCCAAAAAAATTTCAACTTGCATATTATATCTGATCCATCTATCATCTCTTATGACCATTATTTTCATCTACTAGAATAGTTGTGACAGAGTTCTTAGCATGTAGATTCCAGCGAAGGATCATCATCTTCTTCTTTTATGGGTTAGTATTGTGTACATTTAATTGCTCTAGTCATTTCTTCCCTTCCTACACCATATCTGTTCAACATTGGAGAGAAGGGATATGGTCCATCTTTCATGTTTTCTATTTACTTCTTCGCCTATTTTCAACTTGATGCTGCCATTGTATGACTTTGTTGCTTTTAATACTTTCTATATTTATTTGCTAAACCTATGCAAATCTTTTATGGATTATGTCTACACAATCAATTCAGTAACAGACTACAAAATACATGTTCAATTTGCTGTGATTTTTTTGATCGAACAATTTGCTATGATTAAACTTCCTTAGTTTATGGATTATGATAGGATGTTTTTCTTGAGATGGAGATATAGAGGGATATGTTGAGCATTGTGAAATTAAGTCTACATCCTACATCCTTATTTTTTGTTGCTGCTATATCAGAAATATTATGATAGCATGTAATATATTTATTTCTGCTTGCTTGAATAAAAAAGTCATACTCCCTGTTATGCCCTTTTTCATTGTCAGTTTCTATTTCATAGGCCCTAACTTTACATACTATAGCTCAATGTGGGCTAATCTCACGTGCTATCTTACTAACACATCTTTTAGTTTTTTCCCGCCATCTTTAGCTTCTCTTATGCATATATTTATCTTAATGCACTAACTTCATTTTATATTAACACCTTTCACTTCTTCACTTTAAACCAGAAAATATTTGCTTCTTCACTCTCCAACGCTAGCATCTTCTTTGGCTCTTATGGCACCAAGAAAGGGGCACTTAATTAGAGAACTTCATATAGCCAAGGAGACTTGGACCATTATAGTAAGGGTGGTGAGGAGATGGAATGTTGCTCTAAAAAACAAGCCTTCAGAAGTGTTCTGCATCAATATGCTTCTCATTGATGAGAAGGTATTACACATGAAAACAATCTCTACATTAAAGATCTACATGTTTTGTTCATCTTATACTAGAAATCTCTTTTGGGTTTTTGTTGGGGTGAAAGGATACAAGCCACCGTTACTCAAAAGCATGTTCTTGAGAGATTTAGAGAGAAGCCTATTGAAGGAAGTATTGTTTTTATAGCTAATTTTAATGTGGTAGAGAATAACTAGTACAAAGCAATAGATCACCCTTACAGGATCAACTTTAATGCTAACAACTTTGTAGATGAACAAAAGCAAACATACTATGGAACTCCTTCAATTTTAAGCTTATTAGTGGTTGCCTTGAACAACAATTTCCACTTGAACACATAATTGGTATTTGTTTTAAAGTTTATGTAGATGCCTTTTTATTTTAAGATGATGGTAAATTTTTTTAACAACCCATATGCATTTCCTTAGATGTTATTGGAGTGTTGAAGTCTATAGGGAAGCTTGAAGAGTATAAAACCAAAATGGATTCCAAAACAAACTCAGCTTCACTCTGGCGGATAAACAGTAGCTATCTTTTCTCTTTTGTTGCTTGACCAGTTCCACTTAATTATGTGAAGCTGTTGCTAAATTAATTATTTTACAGAGGCAACAGTCTTGTTTGTGTGCTTCTTAGAGATTGTGCTTCAAGTACTTATTATAGCTATCTTAACAACACCAAGTTCCCAATTGTGTGTTGTCATTCAACTTTGCAGACTTAATATAGACAATAGTAAGTAGATCATAATGTGTGTTTTGTTAATAAATGGTTTGATCATAGATTAAAAAACATCACATTCTTTTATTGTATAGATGATGTCTAGATTGGCTCATCCTTCAATGTTACAAAAGTATGGTTGAATCAAAATATCAAGGAAGTGGAGTAGTTGGTTGAGAGGTATATGCAAATGTTCTAATTAACAAATCTACTGCATGAACCATTAGTTGACACTTACTTTTTTATTTCTGCAGTGCTAACAAAAACTCATCCCCAAAAAACTCTTGCTTAAGCCAAGTTGTGCCTATTCAAACTACACAAATTTTTGTGGAGTCCATGCTAAGATCTACCTAGAAGATAATAATTTCTGAGATACCCAAAATGAATGTGGTGAGCTAATAACTAAGGCTAATTTTGTCATAAAAGAAGTCTAATTGTAAGCATTTACATATGGACAGCTAATAATAGGCATTCTTTTATTGTTAAGATGATCAATTTGTTATAGAATGCATAATATAATAGAAAAGTTGGAAACTGGTCCAGCTGGACATATAAGGGTTGCATTAGGTGTGGAAGTAAACATAAACTTAATTGAAAAGGAGTAATGGCTTGCCCCACTTACCCAAATAATATGACTCAAACTGAATTCAAGTATTGTTGTTGTACTTTGCTTTCCACTTTTCAGGAGGGGTCTACATTTTATTATGTCATGTGTTTACATGTTTATTTTAAATTGCCCATTTAGGGTTAAAGTACATTACACTGTGTTTAACAACTCTGGGAAGACCTCTATTTTTTTCTTTGACAAGCATGCATATGAGTTCACTCTCAAAACTACTTTTGAGTTAAAAGAGCTGTTACAAAATATAAGGCCTTACACACACCTTTCAGCATTCCTCTTATCAAATTATCATGTGCATACTGACACATTTATTATTATGATTATCTAGGATAAATGTTCTTATGCCTTCCCAAATGAGCTTGAGGAATTGGTAGGGAAGAAAATGTTGTTGAAGCTAAAGCTTACCAAGTTCAATGTGGATCATCCTAACTCCAGTATTGGTGTTATCTAGTACACAGAATGCTAAGACCTTCTTGAGCAATTCAAACAAGCTTCAAAAGAGGTGAACAAATTGATAAAATTTAGTCTAAAAACCATTTAATAAATAGATAGCATTTACTAAATTATTATGGTTTTTGTATTTTTGTTTTATCAATATAAGGATGGTACCAGTTTAAAGCATGATGATGCAGTCATGGAGGGGACTACAATTGAAGATGAAGTTAATGAGGTATGCCCTTGAACTATAGGTAAGAAGAGGATATAAATTCCCACAATATAACAAGTAACATGTATGTTACTGTGATTAATGTAGGAGGAAAAGAAAGTTGCAAAAAATTGAGACCACACAAGAAGAAATAGCTCTTGCTCAATCTTTTTCTCAAGCTATATTATGTAACATCCTGATTTTTATATAATAAAGAAATTGTGAAATTTAGGTTTTGAGGAAAAAATGATAATAATAGGAATTTATATTATTTGAGGTTATTTAGAAATAATATTATGATTAGGTATTTAATTATAAATTTAAAAATTTAAATTTAAAACCACA